CTCCAATTGGGCTCTCAATGCCCTCAAGCTAGTCAATAATGCCCCAGATGAATTCTTTCGGCTCAAGGCATCCGCTACCACGTTGGCTTTACCGGGGTGGTACTCGATAACTAGATGGTAGTCTTTTATCAACTCCATCCACCGTCTCTGTCTCATGTTTAACTCTTTCTGAGTAAACACATACTTCAGGCTTTTGTGGTCGGTGTATATATGACATGTTTCCTCGTAGAGATAATGTCTCCAAATCTTCAATGCGAACACCACCGCCCCCAGCTCTAAGTCATGAGTGGGATAATTTACCTCATGCTTCTTCAACTGTCGTGAAGCATAGGCAATCAGCCTCCCATTCTGCATCAAGACACATCCAAGCCCTTGGATGCTTGCGTCACTGTAGACATCGTACCCCACACCCTGTTTGGGTAGTGCGAGTACCGGTGCCTCGGTCAATCTCTTCTTCAGTTCAAGGAATCCCTTCACACATCGGTCATCCCATACAAACTTGGCCCCTTTCGAGTGAGCTTCGTCAATGGCGATGCCAAAACTGAGAACTTCTCCACGAACTTTCGGTAATACCCTGCCAATCCAAGGAAGCTACGAATTTCCTTGACGTTCTTTGGCCTCTCCCATTCGGTAATGGCCTCAATCTTCTTGTTATCTACGGCAATCCCTGATCCTGAAACCACATGCCCGAGAAAACCAATCTCCCTTAGCCAAAATTCACATTTGAAAAACTTGGCATAGAGTTGCTTCTCCCGTAGTGTCTCAAGAACCAGTATCAAGTGTTCCTCATGCTCTTCTTCACTCTTTGAGTAAATCAAGATATCATCTATGAACACAATCACAAACTGGTCCAAGTATTTATGAAATACTCGGTTCATCAAGTCCATAAATGCCGCCGGGGCGTTGGTTAGCCCGAACGACATAACTAGGAACTCGAAATGACCATACCTTGTGCGGAATGCACTCTTCGATATGTCATCCTCCTTTATCTTCAGTTGGTGGTACCCCGACCTCAAGTCAATCTTCGAAAACACCGTCGCTCCTCGGAGCTGATCAAACAAGTCATCAATCCTAGGCAAGGGATACCTATTCTTGATTGTGACCTTGTTCAGTTGACGATAGTCAATGCACATTCGAAGTGTTCCATCTTTCTTTTTCATGAAAAGGACCGGTGCTCCCCACGGAGAGTGACTCGGTCTTATGAAACCGTTATCCAATAGTTCTTGCAATTGGGTTTTCAATTCGTTAAGTTCAGCGGGTGCCATTCTGTATGGCGGTATAGAGATTGGTTTGGTGCCGAGTTCAACCTCGATCACGAACTCAATCTCCCTATCGGGTGGAAGTCCCGGCAAGTCTTTTGGGAAGACATCCGGATACTTGCACACTACTCTCACATCATTGATGTCTATCTCTTCTTTGGTTTTGTCCACCACATACGCTAGGTATGCGTGGCATCCCTTTCTCATCATATTCCTTGCCCTCACGGCGGATATGATACAACTGTTTGATTTGCCTCTATCTCCCTCGAAGCGTAAGGTCAACCCTTCACCGCCTTCGAGTTCAAGAATCTTTGTGTAGCAATCGACCCTAGCATGATGTTTCTCCGGCCAATCCATCCCGAGGATTGCATCAAACTCGATCATACTCAGCGGTACGAAATCACACGTCAAGTTCTGTCCCTCCACCTCCACCTCACACGATGGATAGTGGCTACCTCTCTCGATATCATCCCCTAGAGGCGTGGACACCAATAGGGTTTGAGTCATTGGTACAAGTGGTCCGTTGAATCCGCTGGCGAACGCCTCACTCACAAATGATCGTTGCGCCCCGGTATCAATAAGGATCCTTGCGTCTCTCCCGTTTATCTTTAGTGTTCCTACATTCATAAGTAATGTAAGACACACTATCTAATCAAAAGGCTTGTTTCTTAAGTCGTAGAGTATGTTGGTCGTGTTTCGGGTGGAGTCCGTTCGATACCCTTCCGAAGTTTCCCGGTTTCTAGCCTTTAGGACCGTTCTAGGACCCAACTAGGTGAAAGCCGGCCGCTTTTCACGAAAGCCGGCCGGTTTTTATGGTCTGCTTAATCTAATATGATCCTGTATGAACCTTTCAAGATTTAGAATTTAGTTTTATAGTATTCGATATGTTTACAACTAAAAATGTAATAAAGATATATATCATTGACTTATAACTCATCTTTGACTATTGATTTTTTTTATATATTTATATATGCAATATTGATATTACATGAAAGATCACAAAAGGTTATAAATTATGATACATTTTTTTGTAAAAATTGGAGCACAAAAAATTTATAACACTTAAAAAGATTCTTTCTCATCCCTACTCTCCAAATAAGTTGGCTTGGTTGAAATAAGTAGCAGCGGTGCACCGAGTGAATAGTAGTGATGCACAAAATGAATAGTAGTGATGCACCAAATGAACTTGGGTTAATTACATGATTTAGTAACAATGATAACAAAAACAATTAATCAATAAGAGGGTGACACACATAATTAATTTATAATTCAGTTTCATTAAATATAAGTAATAATTTTTATTTATATATATGTATGATTGATACATCTCACATATTTAGTCTTAGACTACTCATCTAGTCAGGTTGATCTCTTTAAGATATAAGAGAGTATCTTTTTGTAAGGAGTTGATAAGTTATTGTACGTAGTGATGACAGTGTTTTTATTATTCAATAAAAAGCTGACACATCATTGATTTTAAACTCAGTTTTACTATATAAAACAATAAATTTCAAAAATATTTTATTATTGAAATAAAAAAAACATCATCTCAAAAAGTAATTAAAATAGTCACTTTTAAAAAATCCAATCAAATAGCTAATTTTGTAAATGGGATAATTACATACTCCTTGTACAATATGAAGTACTTCATATTATATTCATTCATTATCTGATTTGAAGTTTATATATAGGGAAAACTATCAAATAAGTCCTCGTAGTATGCTGGAAAAGTCAATTAGGCCCTTGTACTTTAGAAACACTCAATTAGAACTTTGAACTTTGAAAAATGTTCAATTAAACATTTTAGTAGGTAAAGGACCGGTCTACCTGGTTAATTGCACATGTGGAAGCCACGTGGTAGACCACATGGCCATCATTTTCAATTTTCTTTATTTCTCTTTTCTTTTTCTATTTATTTTTCTCTTTGCTTTTTTCTCTCTCTCTTTTTTTTTTCCTTTTTCATTTTTTTTTGTTTTCTCGTTCCTTAGCTATGTCACAGGGACTTCCTCATCTGCCACAAGAGACGTGATTCCTCCCCGACAGCTTTGTCATAAGACTAGGTGGCTTACGTCGCCGTATTCAAGGACCAAGGTCCCAAGCAAAACGCAGCTCTCCTTGTTGAAATTTCCGGCGAACTTTGGCGAGGGCAGCATCTCTGGCTCAAACTGAGGCGACCCATCCTTGTTGTTTTGGGCTCGAATCGAGATTCTCTAGCACCGGCCAGGGAATTTGTCTTGGTTCCTTGCCTCCTCGGAACTCCTTGGCGGATTTGTCGTAAGCCCAGACCAAACTCGACTGCTCTAGTGCTCTTGCTAGGAAGTCTGGCGGAAACTCAGGTGATGCTGGCATCTCTCCTCTATGCGAAAGGAAAGAAAGAAACAAAAAATAAATAAACGAAAAAGAAAATCAAAGAGAAAGAGGATGAGGATTTACGAGAACAGCGGGAAGTCCCTAGGAAGTCTGAGAAATTGGGGGAGTCGGGGAAAATGGGAACGAAGGGGAACCAGAAAAAGAAAGAAGAAGGAAGAAAAAAGAAAAAGAAAGAGAAAAATAAAATAAATTGAAAATGATGGCCATGTGGTCTACCACGTGGCTGCCACGTGTGCAATTAACTGGGTAGACGGGTCCTTTACATACTAAAATGCTTAATTGAACATTTTTTCAAAGTTAGGGGTTCTAATTGGATGTTTCTAAAGTATAAGGGTCTAATTGACTTTTCCAGCATAGTACAAGAGCTTATTTGATAGTTTACCCTCATATGTATCAAATTAGTGCGAGAATTAATAAATTTTGAATTCAGTTATATACGACCCATATTTTTTTATGCAAAAATATGCGACCCATTTATAATTGATTGATTCGGCATGGAAGTAGGGGTGGGATTTTGGAACCGGGAACCGTTAAATCGGTTGGAACCGAAGCGTTATAACCCGGTTCGGTTCCTACAAATGAGATATTAGTTGTTAACGGTTCGGTTCCTAGTTGTTGTTAACGGTTCGGTTCCTGGTTCCTATAAAAAATATATGCACAGAATCGTTAAGGAACCGATATTAAAAATATAAAAATAAAAATAATAGTAGTAGTATTAGTAGTAATACTAATATAACAAAAATAAACACAACAACAACAATAATAATTAATAAATGATATTTAGCCAATAATTTTAATTTAGTTTAATCTATAAAAACAAAAATAATAAATATTTGCACATGAGGTTGATAACATTAAGCTCATTTTTACAAATCAAGTTTTGTTCCATCAATAGGATGTACATGCAAACTCAATGTATTTCTAGGTTTTGAGAGGCATAAAGTGTACGTCCTATCCTTGCCACTATAATGATGAGCAACCTTCATTTCAATGACATAACGAACGATTTTAATATTTTATGTATTAAATGAAAATTAAAATCTTCTTTTTATTCTATTAAGTGTTCACTTAAGTCCGAGCTTCGATGTTTTGAGTGATTAGAACTCTAAATAAATGTTTATGACTTGTTTTGACTTTTTGACGTTTTCATGTGGTAGAAGCTAAATTATGTGTTAATTATTACACGAAAAAAAATATTCTAGAAACCGATAAAAGCAAGAACCGAACCATTTAGTATTGGTTCGGTTCCATACCAGTTCTTGATTTTTTATATAGGAACCGAACCAATTTCATTTGTTAAAATTTAAATAACGGTTCGTAAGAACCGAACCGGTCCCATGCCTACATGTAAGGAAACATATGTCATGTCAGAAGCTTCAGCTGCTGCCGATGTGCTGCTCTCGAGAAGGGTTCAAGAAATTGTCATCAATAGCGAGGAGCCATCAGGGCCATATATTTGCAGAGGTGGGGAAGAAGAAGATGATGAGCCCTGCAGTACTAAATCTGCCATTCCCACCATTGATTTAAGCAGCTTTTTGCACCACGGAGAGACCGGTCAGACAGAAGAACTAGACAACCTCAGATCAGCTCTCTCCTCATGGGGCTGTTTTCAAGTTACAACCATCCCTTCCTCTCTCAAATTCATATCATATACTATCAAAAAGAGTATATCTTTGGCATTACCAGTCTCATTATGTTGAAAATTAAACTTGTTTTTGGACCTAATTAATATTTAGTTTTAGTTGTTGTTGGGAAGACTCAAGTGATAAAAAAATGTAGAAAAAATAAATTCTAGAGCTTCTCTAAAAGATATGGTCTCTAGAATTCTCATATCATTAATTGTATAGAATTATCTAGAATACATTAATTATAGAAGAGTCTAGATGCTTTTGTACTAGTATAAATAGAGCCCCCCTACCACCACTTTGTATCAACCAAATCAAACAAATTGAGTTGTTCTAATAAAAAGAGTTCTCCCCCTTTGTTGAAATATCTCTTCCATAATATTTCTAATTTAGCCTCCCAATTTCCCATATCTTCCTTCACTTATTTCCAACAGTGGTATCAGAGCCGTTTGGTCATCACCCAAAAATGGCCGGTTCTCTTCAAGTTCCTCCATTAAAAAGGGAGAAATATGATAATTGGAGTATTCGCATGAAGGCAATACTTGGATCGGAAGATGTGTGGGACATGGTAGAGGAAGACTTCGAGGAACCCGAGGACATCAACGCCTTAAATCAAAATCAAAAGAATGCCTTAAGGAGTACTAAGAAGAAAGATCAAAAGGCGCTCTCTATCATCCATCAAGCTTCGGATGAAGTCATGTTCGCAAAGGTGACATGTGCAACTACAAGCAAAGAAGCTTGGGAGATATTAGAGAATTCATACAAAGGAGTAGATAAGGTGAAGAAAGTAAAACTTCAAAGTCTTCGAGGTGAGTTTGAATCTTTAAACATGAACTCTTCGGAATCTATTGACGACTATTTCTCAAGAATTCAAACCGTCGTGAATCAACTAAGAAGATATGGAGAAGAAATCAAAGACAACCGTGTGGTTGAAAAAAATCTACGATCTTTAGATTCAAAATTCGATTACATAGTTGTGGCAATAGAAGAATCTAAAGATCTAGAAACAATGACGGTTGATAATCTCTTGGGATCTCTTCAAGCTCATGAAGAAAAACTCAAGAAGAGAATAAAGCAAGAGCCATTGGAGCAAGTCCTTCAAACCAAACTCACCATAAAAAATAAAGAGATTTTCCAAGAGGGAAAAAGTCAAAGTTCAAGAGGGCACGGTCGAAGCCAAGGCTATGGAAGAGGAGGTTATAAGACTTTCAACAAAGAAGAGAGAAGTCCACATTTCTATCAATCAAGAGGCCGTGGAAGAGGAGGTTTTTCGAGACCAAAGTATGATAAATATCAAGTTCAATGTTATAATTGTCAAAAATTTGGTCACTTTGCCCACGATTGTAGATTGGCAAAAAAAGGAGTTAAGGAGCGGACAAATTTTGCCAAGGAAGAAGAAGTAAATTCAACATTGTTGATGGCCCATAAAGAAAGCGAAAGTGAATCCAAAATGACTTGGTACTTAGATACGGGAGCTAGCAACCACATGTGCGGGAAGAGAGATATGTTCGTCGAGCTTGATGAATCGGTAAGTGGAAATATCTACTTTGGAGATGAATCAAAAATCCCGGTAAAAGGAAAGGGGAAAATCTTAATCCGGTTAGAAAATGGAAAAAGTGATTTCATCTCTAATGTCTACTATGTGCCCAACATGAAATCAAACATTTTAAGTTTGGGGCAACTCTTAAAAAAGGGATATGACATTCATATGAAAAATCACACCCTTTTGATGAGAGATAAAAATGGGGGTTTGGTTGCTAAAGTACCAATGTCAAGAAATAGAATGTTTTCATTAAACATTGAAAATGGGAGTCCAAAATGTTTGAAAGCATGTTTTAAAAATTCATCTTGGATTTGGTACTTGAGGTTTGGGCATCTTAATTTTGGAGGTTTAAAATTGTTGAGTGATAAAGATATGGTGAAAGGTTTGCCCAAAATCAATGAAGCTAATCAATTGTGTGAAGGGTGTTTATTTTTGAAAGCAACCAAGAAAAAGTTTTCCAAAGCAAGCATCTACAAGAGCAAAGCAATCATTAGAGCTTGTACACACGGATATATGTGGGCCAATTAAACCAAGCTCTCTCGGAAATAGTAATTATTTTGCTCTTTTCATTGATGATTTTAGTCGGAAAACATGGGTTTATTTTCTAAAACAAAAATCCGACGTTTTTGGGGCCTTCAAGAAATTTAAAGCTCATGTTGAAAATGAAAGCGGGTTTAAAATAAAATCCATGAGATCTGATCGTGGGGGGGAATTCACATCAAAAGAATTTGAAAAATTTTGTGAAGAAAATGGTATTCATCGCCCCTTAACGGCTTCATATACTCCACAACAAAATGGAGTCGTTGAAAGGAAAAATCGATCTCTTCTTAATATGGTCCGAAGCATGCTTAAAAGCAAAAATGTTCCAAGAGAATTTTGGGCTACAGCCGTGGATTGTGCGGTTTATTTGTCAAACCGATCTCCTTCTTGAAGTGTTTGGAACAAAACCCCCGAAGAAGCATGGAGCGGGAGAAAGCCCGGAATTGCCCACTTGAAAGTTTTTGGGAGTATTGCTTATGCTCATGTGCCGGATCCAAAAAGGAGCAAGTTGGATGACAAAAGTGAGAAGTTTATTTTTTATTGGCTACGATGCAAAAGCAAAAGGGTACAAGCTTTACAACCCAAGCAATGGAAAAATCATGATTACCCGCGATGTTGAGTTTGATGAAGAAAACACTTGGGATTGGACTCAAAAGGAAGAAGACTACAATTTATTGCCTTACTACAATGAAGAAGAAGAAGAGCAAGAGCTAGCCCATGAAGAGCCCACGAGTCCAACTCCACCATCACCCGAGCAAGAAGGATCCACAAGTGAAGACAACTCAAATGAAAGGCCGCCTCGCTTAAGGAGCATACAAGAGCTATATGAGGTAACTAAAAATATAAATGATCTAACATTATTTTATCTTCTTGCTGATTGTGAACCAATAGGTTTTGAAGAAGCGGCTAACGACAAGAATTGGAGGGAAGCCATGGATGAAGAAATGAAGGCCATCATAAAAAATGATACGTGGGAATTGGCCACTTTACCCAAAGGACACAAAGCAATTGGTGCAAAATGGGTGTTTAAAGAGAAGAAGAATGTCATGGTGGAAGTTGAAAGGTACAAAGCAAGGTTGGTTGCAAAAGGGTACAACCAAAGAGCCGGTATCGACTATGAAGAGGTATTTGCTCCCGTTGCCCGCTTGGAAACAATAAGATTTTTAATTTCTTTGGCGGCTCAAAATAAATGGAAAATTTTCCAAATGGATGTGAAGTCCGCATTTTTAAATGGAAAGTTAGAAGAAGAAGTTTATTTAGAACAACCACCGGGATATAAAATAAAAGGGCATGAAGACAAAGTTCTAAGATTGAAAAAGGCACTTTATGGTTTGAAGCAAGCCCCAAGAGCTTGGAATATTAGAATTGGTAAGTATTTCCAAGTAAATAATTTCATAAAATGTCCCCATGAACATGCTCTTTATGTCAAAAAGGAAGGAAATGGAGATATCTTGATTGTTTGCCTTTATGTTGATGATCTAATATTCACGGGAAATAATCCCAATTTATTTGAGAACTTCAAAAAGGCAATGAATCAAGAATTCGAAATGACCGATATGGGCTTAATGTCTTATTATTTGGGAATTGAGGTGAAACAAAGTGAAAGTGGAATTTTTATCGATCAAGAAGAATATGTAAAGAAAATCCTTGAAAAGTTTAAAATGGATGATTGTAATCCAATCAATACCCTGGTGGATTGTGGTGTAAAATTATCTAAGTTTGGTGATGAAGAAAAAGTGGAGCCCACAATGTTCAAGAGCTTAGTTGGGAGTTTACGATATTTGACTTGTACAAGACCCGACATTTTGTGTGGAGTTGGTCTCATTAGCCGGTATATGGAAGATCCAAGAACCTCTCATTGGAAGGCCGCCAAGAGAATTCTTCACTACATCAAAGGTACTCTTAACTTTGGCTTGTTTTACAATTCTTGCAAAGATTTCAAGCTTGTATGCTATAGTGATAGTGATTGGGCCGGAGACGTTGATGATCGTAAGAGTACCACCAGATTTGTCTTTCTTTTGGGTAATACGACTTTTACTTGAAGTTCAAAGAAGCAACCCATTGTGACCCTCTTCACATGTGAAGCTGAATATGTTGCCGCCAATTCATGGGTTTGTCATGCTATATGACTATGAAATCTATTCAAGGAAATAGGCATGCCACAAAAGAAACTACGGAGATATATGTGGATAATAAGTCGGCAATAGCATTGGGAAAGAATATGGTATTCCATGACCGTAGCAAGCACATTGATACACGCTATCACTACATTCGAGAATGCATTGAAAGAAAAGAGATTGAAGTAAAGTATGTAAGGTCCCATGATCAAATCGTCGACATTTTCACGGAGCCGCTCAAGCACGAAGATTTTCGAAGGTTGAGGACCATGCTCGGAGTTACAAAAATAAGTTTACGGGGGGATGTTGAAAATTAAACTTGTTTTTGGGCCTAATTGATATTTAGTTTTAGTTGTTGGGAAGGCCCAAGTGATAGAAAAATGTAGAAGAAATAAATTCTAGAGCTTCTCTAGAAGATATGGTCTCTAGAACTCTCCTATCATTAATTGTATAGAATTATCTAGAATGCATTAATTATAGAAGAGTCTAGATGCTTTTGTACTAGTATAAATAGAGCTCCCCTGCCACCACTTTGTATCAAGCAAATCAAGCAAATTGAGTTGTTCTAATAAAAAGAGTTCTTCCCCTTTGTTCAAATATCTCTTCCATAATATAATATTTCTAATTTAGCCTCCCAATTTCCCAAATCTTCCTTCACTTATTTCCAACACATTAACCAGATTTCATATAAAAATTAATAATTTTTTATTATCTTTGTATATTGAATTTGTAAATATAGAAAAAAGAGAACTGGAGTACTTTTTTGGCTAAAAGTATTCTAGAAGTATTGAGTTTGCTGAATATCATGATTTTAGTCTTGATCAATATGTTTACACTTGCTTGTTTAGAAAAATGTTCAATATAGTGTTTGATAAATTTGGACCTCACCATCACTTAGCCGTTTTAGTAGATTCAATCATTTTCAAGAAGAGTTTTTGCCACTTTTGGTCCCCTAAGTATGGCGTCAGAGACACTTTTTGTACACGACTTTTAATTTTTCCATTTTTAGTACCAACTATTGTCGAGAAACACTTTTAGTCCTCTACTTTCAAGTTTCACACATTTAGTCCTTTGAGTATTATCAAATTGACACTTTTAGTCCTTCTACTATGATTTTGACACAATAAATGGAGGACTAAAAATGTCTCTATTGCAATAGTTTTTTTGGATGACACCCCATCCCTGAGGGCCCGCCAACCCCAACCGGACGGTACGTTGAAAGGATGTAAATTGGACTATAATCACAATCTGACAGATAGAGAGTGAGCATCTGTCCCCGGTATTTGCAGAAGCTCTATGCATTTTAGCACAGTAACCCCTTATTGCAGTTGTCGGGATTCGAACCCGGAACCTAACTCTTGAGGCACTCTATTGCAATAGTTGAAGACCAAAAGTGTCACCTTTACAAAAGTCGAAGGACAAAATACAGAAATTTTCAAAGACGAATACCAAAAGTGTCTCTCGCACTATACTCAAGGATTAAAAATGAAAAAATTAAAAGTCGACACAATAGTCGAGGGATTAAAAGTGGCAAAAACTCTTTTCAAGAATTTTTAAGTCCTACTGAACAAACTCTTAGTTTTTTACATAGGGAAAACCACCAAACTCGGTGGGTATGAGCTGGGCAACTCTTACATGGTATTATTAAAAGATTTAGTAGATTGTTTTGTTGTTTGTTATCATGATCATCATTTGAAAGATTAGATTGTTGTTTTGTTGTTAATTACAATACCTGGTAGCATCATCATCATTTTAAAGATTAGATTATTTTGTTGTTTGTTGACAGATTCCTGTCATTTCCTTTTCTGGTATTGTAATTAATTTCAAGCAACAAGACATGGGATGTGTACCTCTTTTCTAGATAAGGTACTTCAAGTTTCAAGGGGATTCTTTGAACAACCAATGGAAGAGAAAATGAAGTATGCCAAAGGAGTAGAAGAGTTTGAAGGTTATGGAGCTGACCCTGTTCCTCAAGAGGGACAACCACTTGATTGGTCAGATCGACTCTATCTCAATGTCCATCCTCAAGATATGAGAAACTATAAATTTTGGCCGAAAAATCCAGTCTTTCCCGTAAGTAATTTGGCACCACTCTTACTTGGGATATTGAAAGATTTTCCTATTCCTACTCTTGATAAGCTTTAGTCGAACTGGTTTCACATTTATCTTAACAAACGGATACTCTCTTATATCTTAAAGAGATCAACCCGACAAGATGAGTAGTCTAAGACTTTACACGCGAGTTACATTGTTATATTTTATATATTTGGTTGTTATGATGTTACATTAAGCTTTCAATGTAGAGAAGTGTTGGAAGAGTACACGGAGAAGATCAAAATGGTGACGGAATTGACCTCAAAAGCCATGGCAAGATCACTAAATTTGGATGAAAGTTGCTTCCACAGACAGTTTGGTGAGAGATCACAACTGAGTGCAAGTAGGGATGACAACGGGGCGGATTGGAGACGGTTTTACATATAACCGTAACCGTCCCGTTGGGTAATTTCTTCGCCCCGTAACCGTCCTATTACCCAAACCATAACCGTCCCAACGGGTAACGGGTAAAACTTCAGGTAACCGCGGGTAACCGCTTTATTAATTGAGTCATTAAATTTTGATATAAAAAATAATATTTTAAAAGGCGAAGAATAACATCGCCTACACCACTCTACACTTCAGATGTCACTTTAAAGATTCGTATATCTACAAGTAGGGGTGTTCACCGGTCCAAAACCGGATCGGACCGGACCGGACCGGAACCGGTTAGGACCGGAACCGGAATCTTAAATTTATGAGGACCGAAGACCGGACCTATTATTAACCGGTCCAGACCGACCCGGACCTGAATTTTCCGGTCCGGTCCGGTTTTGACCCTAATTGACCCGGTTTTTAAAACAAAGACATAATATCATAGACCATATTGCACACCTATAGAAAAGGTGCATAAAAACAAAGTGTATTATGGTTTGAAATCATAGCAAATGAAATTATGAAAATTCAGTTTTGCAAAAAACAACATACTGCTACTAACTATTAAAAACAGAATGCAATAAGCCCCAAAAACTGAATGAAAACAGAATATTTTAACTTGTAACTTAGATATGAAGATTAAAGTAGTGCAGGTGCACGCTGTTGCAGCAACTCCAAGTCTCCTACTCCAACAAATTGTTATTGCAATGATGCGTCAATACAATAAAGCTCAAATATATGTATTGTAGCACCGCCCCCAAGCATATTTACTTTTAGTAAATTATGTAATAAACCTTGAAAGATGATTTATGAATTTACGTAATTGTTAAATTTTATTATTTCTTTTACGTGAATAGTAAATTGCATGTGGGGCCCACAGCGGGAACGGGGACCGCCCGATAATTCCTGAATCACATATTATATTCATCTTGGTCGGGATGACATCTATATGGTGGTGGATATTCTATTTGGGCCATAAGAAAGGCATGAAGTTGACCGGTTGGTCAAACGGGGCCCAATTACCGGTATTGGTAATTTAGCGGATAACAGCCCGAAATGAGTTCGGAGACTCCTAAATTTATTTTGGGGAATGTACATCTATTCTAAAGGCCCATAATTGTTGGGAAGCGTGATATATTTTATTTGGTCCGGTAAAATAAAATATGATTAAAACGGGCCGAGAAATACAACTTTTGGGGCCGATTGTACACACCGGGACATAATGGGATGACCTCCCACATAAGTGGGGGCCACCCCACGTTTTAGGGGTGCTGATTGATCAAATAATAGAGGAAGCCTCATGGAGACAAACTCACCCTCACCCATTAATTTCCTTTGGACTCTTCATGAGAGTGATTGGGTTGAGAGTAAAGAATACTCCCCCATTCCTACTCTAATCATTCGGATAACTCACACAAGAGAGGGAGAGGGAGGAGACTTGAGAAAATCTCAGAATATTCCTGAGCTTGAAGAACCAAAGGAAGAAGGAAATCCAAAAAGAAAAGGCTTGAGTTTGAGGTAAGAGCTCAACTAGTATTTTCTTTAACTAGTTTTTGTGTATGATTTTTAAGGAATCATATGGTGGATTAAACCATGAGTTCTACACGTTTAAAAGTGTAGAATATTGATATAAAGTGGTGGTAATTAACTTAGAAGGGTTGGCAAATCGATAGGAGTCGAAATCGCCGGAAACCGCCACTCCAAAGGAGCTGTTCGTAGTTGCAGACTACGAAAGCCGCCCGGCTTTCATGAAAGCCGCCCGGCTTTGGCCCAGAAATCCAGCTTTTCACTTTCAATCGGCCTAGAACGGGGATTGATCGAGGGGCGTAACAAAGGCAACTATTGTAGCACATCACGAGGTGAGGATGGCTGACTATATTGCTTATAATTGTTGGGTTAATTTCGTAAGATCACCTAAGTTATTAAATGTGATTTTCATGGATTATTAATGAATAATAATGCCTAAATGAAAATACTATTGCATGTGAAAAAGTGAAGCATGATATACAAATTTAGAGTAAATTGTGAATGATTATGTGATATGAAAGTGATGGTATGATGATGAGATTAACTATGATAATATTGTGATAAAATATACTTTTACTTCATGTATGAACTTCATGAATGGTTAAAAGTGATATTTTTGATATTTGGGTTAAATTATACTTGGATTGGAAAATCAATTGAGATGAATTAATTTGCTATGAGTTAAGAACTTGGCGGTTCTAAGATTATCCGACTAGTGTTGGAATACTAGTCGAGAGATTAATATAAATAAATGATGGATTTAATCCTAAGAGATAGGATTGTAAATGGGTATGCCTTAAGTAGTCTTAAGAGATACTTTAAGGTTGAATTGTATGAACGCTAAAGTGTGGTAGGGGTGGGCCTAAAGGCTACCCAAGTGAATTGATTCTAGGCATAGGATTTGCTTGAGAATTGGACTATGAAAATAAAGTAGAGTTGGACTCTAGGATTGCATGGAAACGTAGTTGGGCTGAGCCCTTGCCATGTAATGTGATTAGCATGGAAACGTAGTTGGGCCGAGCCCTTGCCATGTAATGTGATTAGCATGGAAACGTAGTTGGGCCGAGCCCTTGCCATGTATATGTGATCTCCGTGGAAACGTAGTTGGGCCGAGCCCTTGCCATGAAGTTATGGTTGGTATGGAAACGTAGTTGGGCCGAGCCCTTTCCATACAATTTTAATGCGTTAAATCGAGTTAGAGGATTTTATAGAAATGTAATTGGGCCGAGCCCTTGCTATAAAATCAGGGCTCGATGGGATCCTACGGGGTTATCGTGACACGCAGTCACGCGGGAAAGAAAATAATGAATTCTAAATGAATATGGGCCCACGGGCCGACTACTTGACTCTACATAAAGTAAGTACAGTTAAAAGAAAAAGGGGTAACCGAGGGTTATGGCCCATAATATAATATCCCCCTAAGTTGAGGGTCTTAGAAATTGAAACATCAATTATACTTAGTATAATTGCTATTGTACTTGTCAAATATTTTCAAGTACTGACCTCCCCTTCACGGGGGAGGCCACCTCACAGTTTCAGGTAGAACTTGAAGGTTGCTGTCACCGCCCGTTGCTTCGGGAAGATCAAAGGAAGAAGACGTGGTTCGTGCTTCTTCCGTTTCTGTTTTGAAAACAAGTTAAATAATGCTCATGGATATTGTTTTGAATAATTACTTTGGGGCTTGTATGTCCATGTTTGCCAAGGTGTGGCATAAACACTTGTGTTAAATGTTTCCGCTGCTATAAATGTTTATTTTACATTATGTTTGTTTATGGATGTACTATGTGTGAATGGTATTCAAGACGCCTTGTATAGTATGGATGAGTGGGACTGCAGTTGGCTATTCGTACAATACGGCGGGTTGTTGACGTGTCCGGGTAAGTCCGGGGCGTGACATGTATTCCCCAACATGTGCTCAACATATATAACATCATCATCCAAATATGCAGCCGGCAAATCTATATAGAAAAAGAAAAAAATAGAATTACGTCAATTGTAAATAACACTATAGTAACATATATATTAAATAAAGTTAGCAGCTTTGATGTAAAACATGTGCAGAAACAGTTAATAAAATTAAATACATATTATACTTCTTACTTTTTTCTAGTTCTTCCATCTCCTTTATGCTTTCCTCTACATCAACTCTTGGAATCCCCTTCACTCGAAGCCAATCTTGTGCACAAACAAGAGCTTGAACCATCTTACAACATATGTGATATACAACCCAAAACATTATATTAAATAGTCATGCATAATATAGTGTAATGGCAGATATAGTATTAATGTGAAAACAGAAAAATAGAGAGATGCATTACCTTTGGAGTTAGAGAACTCCTAAATGGATCAAGATGTCGACCTCCTGTACTAAACGTAGATTCCGAAGCAACGGTTGATAATGGAATGGCTAGTATATCACGTGCCATGCGAGAAACAATAGGAAAACGATGCCGATTATTTCTCCACCAAGATAATGCATCCACATCTTCGTCCTCCCCTAATTGCTCATTCAAATACCTATCAAATTCACTAATGACAAACCCACTGGTTCCCTTCCACAAGCTTTTTGCCTGGAGGCAGCCCTTTCTGCAAATCAGCAAGATTGGTTTTACTTGCTGCATCAGACAATGTCGAGCTATGCTGTTCAGATGAATACACCCGTCTTCTGGAGGTAGAGTTCTCCATCTGTACATGCCAAAATTAATAAACCATGTCATAAACTCACAAACATGTTTAAAAGTATATAAGTAGATAACTTCTAAGAATTAAAGTCTCTAATAAAGCTATATTACCCCTTGCAAATGGTGAAAGTGTGTTAGTTTCACACTAAGCAGTAGCAACTTACACATGTTTAATGTAATAGAAACAAGATAAATGGATAGCCATCATCTTGGTTATGATTTATAAATTGATTAGAATAATTATTAGTAGCATAATGTAAAATTACTTAACTGAATTAAGTGATCTATTTTTCAAGATGGCAATAAATAATTCAATTGAAGTTTGGGTTTGAGTGGTCTGGCATTCCAAATATAAAGACTGGAATTGGTTCATCAAGATTATCAATCTGCCTTCTCATATTTAGTCCGACTTGCATGTGTTATCTAGTTATAAACCTAACCTCTCTTTTCTTAGTCTTCTATTTTGAAATATAGAATAACAATCCTATCCTAACGCATTCCATTTCCTGTAGGCTCTACACGATGATATGGATGAGTTTGTGTGTATATCTACTTCTAATGCCTTTTTAGTCAAGCTTTTTATAACTCATACATTTTTTGTCAAATGCTTGCTTACTATTAATACTTGCTTACCTATGAATTGGGGCTAATCTTTACCCATGATGGCGGATAAACTACATACTGCCAACATCCGAATTCCTTGCTGCCAATGGTCTTAGGGATTTAATGATCATCAAACGTCAAAATTAAAAAAAAGCGAGGCATTCACAGAGAAAAATAACCAGAATAATTCCAAGGAAAAAGCACTACTGATGCATATGCTAGGACTAAAAATTGAAATTGAATTAAGCGAAAAATTTGTTTTTGGAAAAGTTAACTTTATGCATTTTTATAACCTGAATCAACCACATGAAGATAAGAGGATTACCTGTTTACGTAAGTTCTCTTCTCAATCCACATAGTATGTTGGCGGATGAGTCAATTGTTCTGCAGCAGACCAGCAGTACGCACTCCGCAGTCCGCAGAGAGGAGACTATGTTGAATCGTTGATTGTTGAAGAATGAAGATACTATCAACGAACGTATATTGGGCATCCCTAATTTAGTTCGTAAAATAAAATGGGCCAGCGGCTACAAGTCCAAAAATGTTTTTTTTTGGAAGAGTAATTTAACGGGCCACCGGTCTGGACCCGTATTTTTCCGGGTTTGACCCGGACCGGACCGGAACCCGGAATCTTAAAATTGTAAGGACCGAAACCCGGACCGGTTAATACCGATCCGGTCCGGACCGGTCCAATCCGGTCCGGTTCAGGTCTAAATTACGGTCTGACCCGATTAATGAACACCCCTATCTACAAGACGAGAAAGGAAACAACTTAAAATAATTTGAACCTAAAAATACTTAATATAAAAAATAATTAATCACAAAAAAATATGATAATAATCAAACAAGACTATTAAAATCTATTATGAACTTTCATTTATACATTATAGTTAGTACATCTATTATCTATATATATACGCAATGGTAAGAAAAAAATCTCATCTTTTAATAGTTGTGAGACAAATAATAGATAAAAATATAATAAAAATATAACTACAAATAAACGGGGTGGGTAATGGGGTGGACATGTATAAAACCATAACTGGCCCATTACCCGTAAAAACAAAACGGGTATTCCCCGCCCCATACCCGCTACCCGGTCAATGCGGTTTTCCCCATTTTGACCGGGGCGGTTCGATGCGGGTATCCATCGGTTCGGTCACAATTGCCATCTCTAAGTGCAAGTTCAACTACTATTCACCATGCCAAAGGCCAGATCTTGTTCTTGGCCTAAAGCCCCACTCAGATGGGTCAGGCTACACCATAATCATACAAGATGAATCTGTGCTCCAAGTTCTCAAGAATGACAAATACTTCCATGCCCGTAAATTTTTCTTTTTGTTGTCATATATGCAATATATGTGATTTTCAGATGATGACCAATGGGATATTCAAGAGCCCAGTTCACAGAGTTTTGAGCAGTTCACAAAGGGACAGAATATCTGTTGCTATGTTTTATGTACCTGAAATAGGGAAAGAGATTGGACCAGAAGAGGGGTTATTACTTGATGGTGAAAAACAAAGAGTTTACAAGAAAGTGAAAGATTATGGAGATCTTTATTTGGAAAACTACGTACCGAAGTGGGAAGGGCATAAGACCATTGTTGCACATAGCACATGTCTAGATGCTGCTAATAAGTTCTATCAATATGCATCCATAGTTGTGTGCTAATAAAATTGATAAGGCCTCCTAATAATGATTTAGTTTTCTCATATCATATCATACAATGTCCAACTTTGTCTCACATTATTTGGAGCCCCCACGTTAATATCCATTTAATACATACTCTTATCTCTCCGGCTTTTTAAGATGCATATTCATCTTTAAGATATGGATTCATTTTCTGATTTCAATTGTGTTGAAAGTATAAAACAAAATGTCTCAAATTGGAATAAACATTAGTAAAAGTGTAATACTTGTTGTAAATTTCCTAAATACAGGTAAAATGGTGTGAATGGACAAAAATTCTCTTTTAGGGTTTAGGTTTTACCGATCTCTTGCCTCCCAGCAGAGGAGGCAGAGAATCAGCAGCCGGTGGCGGCTGCCCTTCGGCAGCTCTCCTGAATACTCTGAACCCTTAAAAGTGCATTTATCTTTTAACTTATTGTTCCTATTTTGGAAATTTGAAGCATCTACCCTTGTATTTGCACTTTACTATTCACTTGGATCCCAAAGGTTTACATCCCGGAGGAAGATCAACTAGTTCCCACGTGTGATTTTGTAGAATAGAATCCACCTCACTTTTGATGGCTTCTTTCCACATAGGATCTTCTGTAGACGTCACGACTTTCGTATAAGTCCGCGGCTCATTTTCTTCCAAACACGTTAGAAAATCTGGTTCATTTTCTACCATGCACGTTGGAATGTCCGAATCAAATTCTACCAAGTAGGTCAGAAAATCCGAGCTATTTTTCTATTCTTGCACGTTTGCTACGTTTGGGTTCAGCTTCTTCTTCGGACCCCTCGCTTGTATTTTCCATAACTACGTCAAACGTTCGTTTTGATGTGCTTGGTCCTTCATTGGACTTGCATGGAAATACGTCTTCAAAGAATGATGCATTTATTGATTCAATCATTGTGTTTTTATGTACATCCGAATAATTCGAATCATACACTAAAAACCGATAAGCGCTACTACTTTGTGAATACCCAATAAAAATACAATCCACCATTTTTGGACATATTTTTATTTTTTTAAGTGTTGGTACAAACACTTTTGCAAGACACCCTCACACTTTTAAATATTGATAGGAAGACTTTCTAGATTTCCACAACTGGTAGGGACTTTTATCATATTTTTTCGGTGAACTTATTTTTTCGGGAAGTTTTATCATAACTTTGACATAGTTTTTCTTTGAGGAGACTATGCAACGAGTATTTTGTGAGCTCGGTGGTACTCTGGTTGTGTGATCTCAACTCTTCTGAATCCAAAATCTGGTGCCAGGCTTTTATAGGCGAGGAGGAGGCGAGGAGCCTTTGTATTAATTATGCATCCAACACCACACTTGTTGTGTGAAATCGCTCATTAAACACACATTTATTGTGTTGTAATGGTTTTGAACATTTCAGACCATTAACCATGTAATTAAACCATATTTTAATCAGATTTTCTAGTTTCTAAACATTAGGCAACGTTCAAAACTCTAGCAGTTCGAAGAGAGATTAGAACGACAATTTACCGACAGTAGTTATACATTTAGTTCTACCTTTGAAAATTTCCAATTTCTCCATCTCAACAAGTGAATTTCGAGAATCAATTTTTCATTTGCCCATTATCCATTTTGAGTATACTACATATCAAATTGACCCTCTTACAAAAAAGGAGAATCCGAAACCACTTTGACCCGACTCAAATCAAAAGTGGACCCCACTCAAAATACTGTCCGAAAATAGTCATTTCATGCAATTTTCTAACATATGAAATACTCGTAAGTTTTGTACATTAAACAATAAAATAAAAATTGTGAGATTAAGTTTTGGGTAAGAAAAATTCATAAGAATAATCCCATCTATTAGGTCTTCTAATATTAATCCCAATTATAAGTAATTCTTAAATAATCTCAAATGTACTAGTAGTCTTCTCAAATTGATCCATGTTACCTATCACTTGTTTAGACGGTAAAAAAATTAAAAGAAAAAGAAAAAAAGATGAACAGTTGGCTTCTTCGTCTTCACTAGACTATTCTTGCTTCCTTCGTCTCTAACATGTTTCTCAATTTTTTTTATTTTCTCGATCTTCTCTTCTTTTTTTGCCCCCCTCTGCCTCATAACTAAATCTCTTTCCCATCTGGCATTTCGTTCTCAAATTCGTATTTCATTCTTTCTATGTTAGATTTGGATATATAGTTCAATTTCGTCAATCCAACTCAAACTTGACACAATTCATCAAGGTATATGATGAAACTTGAATGATGGACGACCGACGATGGAGACCGGACCGGTTGGGATGGAGGGATAGCTACGAAGAACAACTCCGTCGGACGAGGATGAAGACGAACATTCTTCGTCTCCTAGGGAAAGGCAGTCTGCAGTTGAAAATCTGGCCTTGATGGTGATGATGGAACCATACTCGTACGCCCGATACTAGGAAGATGAAACAAAACGAGGGAAAAGAAAACGACAAAACAAATACTCCGTAATAGAAGAAGGAGATGGGACTTGAGAGGAGAAAGCAAAAAAAACAAGAAAGAAGAGGAAACATATCAGATGCGAGAATGAAAAGAAGAATATGATACATAGCAGGTGGGGGGGGGGGGGGGAAGGGCTTTGGGGGTGTTTGGAACTGATTCTGCTTCTGCTTCTTTTTTAAAGAAGAAACAGAATCAGAATCAGTTTTCAGAAGCTGGTCACCCCCAGCTTCTAAAAAAACTGATTCTAGGAGTAAATTAGAGCATCAGAATCACTTCTGCACTTTCACCAAAACACTGCAACTTCTGCTTCTGCTCCCTGAAAGAGCAGAATCAGTTTTAAGAATCAGATCCAAACACCCTCTTTGATAGAGCTGGTAGGGAAGAAGACCCGAGAAAGAAAAGGGGGAAAAAGAGGAAAGAAAGGGGAAAGAAATAAAGGAAAATAAAAAAGGTAATGGAGCCCCATTAAAACCTGCCACGTGGTGAACTGACCGGCCAAAGCCGTTTATTCAGGTCACCGGCTCATTTATAGAAGACTGCTGGTAAACTTTAGATTATTTTAGGATTATTTATATTTGGGATTAATATTAGAAGATACACACTAGTTGAGATTATTGTTGTGAATTTTTTCTTTTGGGTAAAAGAGAGAAATAATAATACCTCGTAATTACAAATTAATTGGTTTAAGAAAGTAAGTGATAAAGTTTTTGAATAAAAAAGGGAAAAAGCCACATTTTAAGGATAGGAGAGAGTAACAGAATGAAAGGCTTTTGAAACTGTACTTTCAAGTTTCAACACAAATCGGAATCATAAATCATCAAGGTTAACAGGGATTGGATAAAGCAAGAACCTTTACGCTTTACCCAGCAACGATAATTCCAAAGTCAACCACTTTATACGCACTCCCTTATGAAAGACTCGCAGACGGAGTAGGAAGCATACCTATCCACATCGGAGAATGTCTGAGCAGCAGCAAGCAGTGTTCATCGGCTCAATCGATCAGGGCACAACCAGCACCCGTTTCATCATCTACGACCGTTCCGCCCGACCCGTCGGATCCCACCAGATCGAGTTCACCCAGTTCTACCCTCAACCCGGGTAACCCATTTCTAGATTCAAATTTCTTTCTTTTTTACTCATTCAAAGCTCAACGTCTACTGTTGGTTGGTTTCGGGTGCAGATGGGTGGAGCATGATCCGGTGGAGATTCTCGAGAGTGTGAAGATCTGTATTGCTAAGGCCGTCGACAAGGCCACCGCAGATGGCCACAACATAGACGGCGGTCTCAAAGCCGTGGGTCTCACCAATCAGAGAGAGACCACCGTGGTATGGAACAAATCCACCGGCCTTCCTCTCTACAATGCCATTGTTTGGATGGACGCCCGTACTACTTCCATTTGCAGGTCTTCTTGATTTGTTATTCGTGATTATATTTGTAAAATTTGTAGTATAAACAAAAAGGACAGAGGGCTTACATGGAACTCTGGAAAAGTTAAAGAAAGAAATAGACATGAAATTATAGAATTGTTAGACATACAGCAAGTCCGTCGGTGGAATTTTATAATAAAGTGTATAAAAGAAGAGTTAATAGGGATGTTGCTATTAACTAATAACTAACGGGTTAGTTAGTTAGTTATTGTCCCTGCGTGGACATTACTATAAATAGAAGGGGCTCAGCTAGCTGAAGGTAGTTTTAGACTCCTGGCTAGAACAAGACTGGGAGATTAGGCATCTCGAATTGTCTACAGTTTGTGTAATCTGATCTGGTGAACTGTGTGTTGTTTTTGAACAATTCTGTATTCGATAGTGTATGATCTATCATTGGTATGGACCAATGTTAAGTTTGAGACAAACTGGAAATGTATGGACCAATGTTAAGTTTGAGACAATTTTGAAGAAATCTGTCATTCGCAGATTTCAACCAGAATTGATTCAGAATCCGTATGGACCAATGTTAAGTTTGAGACAAACTGGAAATGTGCAAGATTATCGAGAAGAGTTTGAAATGGTGATAGCTCCACAATTACACATGGATGGGGAATTGCTGCGAGGAGTATTCATGTCAGGTTTGAAGGAGGAGATAAAATCTGAGCTGAAGATGTATGCATCCAGGTCTTTAACCGAGATCATGGATAGAGCTGTACTCATTGAACAGAAGATTGAAACACAATTTGGAAGAAAGAAGGAAGAGGAAAAACTGACAATAAAGGAAAGAGGTTCTGTACCAGTCAGGGGACAGAGTTGGGGAGATAATTCCAGAGTGAAATCTGGTTACAACTGGCCATCTCAGAGTAAAATGGTAGCTGAGAATAAGTATAATAATACTGGAATGGATAAGATTGGTAAGAAGACTATTGATTCTTATCCAACTGGATTCAAAAGAACAGGACCCCTGTTATCTCAAGAGGAATTTCAGGAAAGAAGTAGAAAGGGGCTATGTTTTAAATGTGGTGAAAAGTGGAGTAAAGAACATACTTGTAAATTGAAAAATTTCAAGTTGATGTTGGTTGAAGAAGCAGTTGAGGATGAACAGTCAGAACAAATTGAAGATACCATACCAGAAAATATCTGTCAGGAAGTATTGGAATCTAAATCTATGCAACTATCCTTGATGAGCAAAGAAGGGATTCCTACCATGAGGGCTTTCAAAGTGCAGGGGATTCTGAGGGGAGGATCAAGAGATCAACATGTGAATGTGTTGATTGACAGTGGGGCTACCCACAACTTTATTTCACAGCAGTTGGTGGAGCAATGGAAACTGCCTTTTCAGACAGTTTCTGATTACAAAGTGCAGATTGGTAATGGGGATTATATAGCCAATAACAAGAAGTGTCCTCAGTTGATATTAAACTTACAAGGAGCTGAGATAATACAGGATTTTTATATCCTAAATTTAGGGGGCACTGATTTGGTATTGGGTATGGATTGGTCGACAAGTCTGGGAGATGTAGAGATAAACTTTCAGAAACAGAAAATTAAATGGAAACAGGGGGAGCAGGAGGAGTGCATTCAAGGAGATCCCAAACTGAATTCAATGGAAGTGTCATTGAAAACATTTTCACAAATATTATGTGATAATGGAGATGGTTATTTCTTATATTGTGAAGGAAAGAACATGGAAATGGAGCAAGAAGGAGGACTGGAAACCATTTGGAAGCAGATTTTGGAAGAATTTCCAGAAATTACAAAACCTAGAGAAGGTTTACCTCCAAAAAGAAATTGTGATCATTCTATACTGATTCAGGAGGGAGCTAAGATACCTAATATCAGACCTTACAGGTACCCACAGTACCAAAAGACTGAAATAGAGAAGATTGTGAAAGAAATGCTTGATTCTGGGATTATCCAGAATAGCAATAGTCCTTACAGCAGTCCTATACTCTTAGCCAAGAAGAAGGATGGTGGATGGAGGTTCTGTGGAGATTACAGAGCCCTTAACAAAATCACAGTTCCTGACAAATATCCAATCCCAATAATTGAAGAACTACTTGATGAACTTGGGGAGGCTACCATATTTTCTAAGTTGGATCTAAAATCTGACTACCATCAGATTAGGATGAAAGAAGAAGATAGGATGAAGACATCTTTCAGAACACATGAGGGCCATTATGAATATTTGGTAATGCCGTTTGGTCTAACTAATGCTCCCTCTACCTTCCAAGCTTTGATGAATCAGGTACTAAGGCCTTATCTGAGAAAATGTGCCTTAGTCTTTTTTGATGATATCTTGGTATACAGTAGAACTAAGGAGGACCACATAGAGCATTTGAGAGCAGTCCTATCTGCTTTGAGGGATAATCAGTTGGTGATTAACCCAAGGAAATGCTCTTTTGGACAACCTCAATTAGTCTACTTGGGGCATATTATTTCTGGAGTAGGAATAACAGCAGACCCTACCAAGATTGAAGCCATGGTTACTTGGCCAAAACCCCAGAATTTAAAGGAGTTGAGAGGGTTTTTGGGGTTAACTGGCTATTACAGAAAATTTGTAAAGGGGTATAGTAAAATTGCAGCACCCCTTACACAACTTCTAAAGAAAGACAGTTTTCAGTGGGGAGAACAAGCTACACAATCTTTTGAGGAGTTAAAAAGAACCATGACTTCACTCCCAGTCCTAGCTACACCTAACTTCAATAAAACATTCATTTTGGAGACTGATGCTTCTGGAACTGGGTTAGGTGCAGTTCTCATGCAAGAAGGCAGACCTGTGGCTTTTATGAGCAAGATATTATCTAAAAGAAACCAAAACAGATCAGTTTATGAAAGAGAGCTCTTGGCTATTGTGTTAGCAGTACAGAAGTGGAGACCCTATTTGTTGGGAAGAACTTTTGAGATTGTAACTGACCAAAAGAGTTTGAAGTTTCTGACAGAGCAAAGATTAATGGGTGAAGAACAACAGAAGTGGACTTCTAAGTTGTTGGGGTACAATTTCATCATCAGATATAGACCTGGGGTAGAAAACAAAGCTGCTGATGCTCTCTCTAGAAGACCTATGCTACAGTCTCTTTCAATTGTGACATGTCAAGAATGAGATGGATTGGAAGAAGAATTGAAGGCTGACATCAAATGTGCAGAGTTGATTCAGAAGGTGATTTCTTATCCAGATCAATATTCAGAATTTCAGATCATTAAGGGTTTGTTATATTATAACAAGAGACTAGTTCTACCTCAAGGATCTCCCAGAATCATAAAGATCATGAGGGAATATCATGAAACTGCCATGGGAGGACATTCAGGATATTTTAGAACCATGAAGAGAGTATCCAGTCTTTTCTTTTGGCAAGGTATGAGGAAGGATATAAAGAAGTGGGTGGAAGAATGTGTGGTTTGTCAGACTAATAAATATCAAGCTTTGAAGCCTGCAGGACTACTACAACCACTTCCTATACCTAATAACAGTTGGACTGACATTAGCATGGATTTCATTGGAGGATTACCCAAATCACAAGGGAAGGATACTATACTTGTGGTTGTGGACAGATTAACTAAATATGCTCACTTTGTTGCCTTGTCACATCCCTACAATGCTAAGGAGGTAGCTGATGTATTCATTAAAGAAGTGGTCAGATTACATGGGTTCCCTAAAACTATAGTCAGTGACAGAGATAGTGTTTTCCTCAGTGTTTTTTGGTCTGAACTATTCAAATTGGCTGGGACACAATTGAAGTACAGTACAACTTATCATCCTCAGACTGATGGTCAGACTGAGGTGGTTAACAGATGCTTGGAAACTTATCTCAGGTGTTTAACAGGAAGAAAACCAAAAAAATGGTTTAATTGGTTTCATTGGGCTGAGTATTGGTACAATACTAACTATCATGCTGCACTGAAAACTACACCTTACAAAGCTCTATTTGGACAGGATCCTCCTGCAGTAATTAGAGGAGATGTTACAGTTACTGCAGTAGAAGAAGTTTCAAAACTGACTGCTCAGAGGAATATAATATTAGATGAGTTGAAAGAGAATTTGGCCAAAGCTCAGAATCAGATGAGGCAGCAGGCCAATAAACACAGGAGAGAGGTTACATTGGAGATAGGGGATCAGGTTTATCTGAAAATTCAACCTTATAAGCTGAGGAGTTTAGCTAAGAGGATGAACCAAAAATTAAGCCCAAGATTTTATGGTCCATTTCAGATTATTGAAAAACTCAGTTCTGTGGCTTTTAAATTGCAGTTGCCAGAAAATTGCAAAATTCATCCTGTGTTTCATATATCTTTGTTAAAAAAGGCTATATCATCTAATACCTACTTTCAACCTCTACCTAAGTGTCTGAATGAAGAATGGGAGTTACAGGTTGTACCAGAAGAGATTTTGGACACAAGGGTTGATGCAGATGGTAATTGGGAAGTGCTGGTTCATTGGAGCAATCTGCCACAATTTGAAGATTCTTGGGAGTCAATGAAAATGATCAAAGAACAATTTCCAGAGTTTCACCTTGAGGACAAGGTGAATTTCCAGGAGGGGAGTATTGTTAGACATACATCAAGGCAGTCGGTGGAATTTTATAATAAAGTGTATAAAAGAAGAGTTAATAGGGATGTTGCTATTAACTAATAACTAACGGGTTAGTTAGTTAGTTATTGTCCCTGCGTGGACATTACTATAAATAGAAGGGGCTCAGCTAGCTGAAGGTAGTTTTAGACTCTTGGCTAGAACAGGACTGGGAGATTAGGCATCTCGAATTGTCTACAGTTTGTGTAATCTGATCTGGTGAATAAAAGTGTGTGAACTGTGTGTTGTTTTTGAACAATTCTGTATTCGATAGTGTATGATCTATCAAGAATAAATTTGGAAGGAAAGAGAATACAACAACATCCAAGCCTTAATCCCAAAAGAATTTGGAGTCGGCTAACATGAATGGATCTATGATACAGATGCCAAACAGAGAATGGAAGGAAAGAGAATGTAAGGAAAATAATGTATTGGGTAAAAAATAAATTAATGTTAACTAAATATTCAAATTCATGGTTTTTAAATCCATATCTATTGTATAACATCACGAAATCTAAAGATATGTAAAAAGTTTGAAACAATAATCACATTTCATTTTCCTTGGCATTTTTTGAGGTAAAACCAAACATAAGAAAATAACTTTCTTTAGCACTTCACAAAATCCAAACATAGCCAAAATGATGGGGGTTTCGCTTCTGAAAATGTTAAATTATTATATCTAAACAACTAAAACAAGTACAAAGTTTTATCCAATTTTGACTTGACTTCATGTTTATCAATGTAAGCTTAACAGAGAAATCCCATTTTCATCAACATTTTTTTCCTTTTTCCCACCAATTTCGGGTTCAAACAAGCCCAAGAGATGAGATTTAATGATTTATCTGTTTTTGTTGTTTGTATGTGCCTGTCGATACTTTGGTGAAGCAGCACTATTGCTTTATCGGGTTTTCTGATTTTTTTTTTGTTTTTTCTCAACTCGGGATTGAGTAAAACTTGTTACCTGCTCAGGAAATTGGAGAAAGAATTACCTGGTGGGAGAACTCATTTTGTTGAGACATGTGGACTGCCGATAAGCACCTATTTCAGTGCCATGAAGCTGTTGTGGCTGTTGGAGAATGTCGATGCTGTCAAGGAATCCGTAAAGAAAGGGGATGCCCTTTTTGGGACGGTCGACACTTGGATAATTTGGAATATGACTGGAGGAGTGGACAAAGGGCTCCACGTCACTGATGTGTCCAATGCATCAAGAACCATGTTAATGAACCTCAAAACTCTTGATTGGGACAAGCCAACACTCGATCTGTTGGGAATCCCTAGTGAGATTTTGCCCAAAATCGTTAGCAACTCCGAAATCATAGGGAACATTGCCAAGGGATGGCCAATCACAGATATCCCAATATCGGGTTGCCTTGGGGACCAACATGCTGCAATGGTGGGCCAGGCTTGCCGAAGAGGTGAAGCAAAGAGCACGTACGGAACAGGTGCGTTCATACTCCTTAACACAGGTGAGGAGGCGATCAAGTCAAACCATGGACTTTTAAGCACTTTGGCTTATAAGCTGGGACCAAACGCTCCAGCAAATTATGCCTTGGAGGGCTCGATTGCCATAGCTGGAGCAGCTGTCCAGTGGCTTAGGGATAGTCTGAATATAATCAGCAGCGCTAGTGAGATTGAGGAGTTGGCATCAAAGGTTGATTCGAGTGGGGGAGTTTATTTCGTGCCGGCTTTTAATGGGCTGTTTGCGCCATGGTGGAGGGATGATGCTAGGGGAATTTGTATTGGGATCACAAGGTTCACAAACAAGTCCCACATTGCTAGAGCTGTTCTTGAGAGTATGTGTTTTCAAGTTAGGGATGTTTTAGAGTCAATGCATAAGGATGCCGGGGAAAAAGGGGAGGTTAAAAATGATGCAGGAGAATTCATACTTAGGGTTGATGGTGGCGCCACTGTTAACAATCTTCTGATGCAGATACAGGTACACACTCTCCCGCTCAAACACACACACACAGTCTAACCTCTGAGGGTCCATGTGGAACTTGAAAAGTCCAAGGGAATGAAAATAAGGAGGAAAATATAGAGCGGAAATTAACAAGGATAGAAAATGTGATGGAAGATATTTTTATCTTCTTTAAAGTGTAAACTGAAGGACTTTAAAATTAATACACAGTATATGTTTAAACTCCTTTTATAATATATTTATAATATTAAATAAAGACTAGGAAATGAAACACATTTATAAAAACTCAAAAAAGAATCATATATCATTTGTCTTTGCATTTTTTTTGTTGAAAAACCAGACACAAGAAAACATAAACCAAGTTGGTCTTTTCATCAGGACCTTTTGCCCCCCCAAAAAAAAGCTTAGTGCTCAATATGGTGATTTCTTCAATTTTATTTTCAGTATGTATTCGTTTACCCTGTTTTCCTTGCTCATGTGTTGAGGCTTGAAAGCCAGTGGGTGTTGTGGAGAGAGGGAACAAGTGGGTTTGGGACATGACTCGCCAAATTATAGAGGACCTAAGAACCTTTTCAGATCTTGTATCATAATGTTTTTTTTGGCACAACAGAAACTAATTTCTGAGGTAGCTACTAACAGCCCGTTAAGGCTTTACTGAAGGGGCTGAATGTGCTTAAATTGATGTTGATGGTAGAATACTTGAATTGGTTAAATAGTGACCTTGAAAACCTTTAACTGTTTCAACAACAGAAAAGACCCCCGACATTTTATCGCATTATTAGCAGAACAGACATTTAGAAAAAAGGGCAAATTCCCTAAATAGGAGTAAAAACGTTTTGAAATTCCAAAATAGGACTACCATGTTTTTATTCCCTAAGTAGGAGTAATTTTTGCCAAGTTTGGCAAACTTTTTGACAGAAATTGCTCCTATTTAAATATGAGCAGCTTTTTCTGACAGAAATTGCTCCTATTTAGGGAATAAAAATATAAGGATCCTATTTTGGATTTTCAAAACATTTATACTCCTATTCAGGACCATTTCTAAAAAACAATAGTTTTAGTCCAAAAACCAGGTTGTTAAGACGGATAGATTGAAAAATGGCTACTCAGAGGCAACTAAATTACTTGAAAAGAAAATTGTGTCTTCTTGTTTCTCAGTTAGTCATTCAGCTACTTCTGCAACATGGCAAATTCCAATATTAAGATCAGTCAGCACCATTAGCTTCCCGATTTACTTGTCCAGACATGGTCTGTCCCATATTGTCATTAAATAAATTGTACTAGTATGTAAATTTCTGTTATGCATGATTTTGTAGGCAGATTTGCTAGGCAGACCAGTGGTGAGGCCAGCGGATATAGAGACGACAGCCCTTGGGGCTGCATTAGCTGCCGGATTAGCGATTGGAGTCTGGACAGAAAGTGAAATATTTTCATCCGGTGAGAGAAAGGAAAAATCTGCCATTTTCCATCCAGTGATTGGTGATGAACTGAGGAAGAAGAAGGTTGATTCTTGGTGCAAAGCTGTTACGAGAAGTTTTGATTTGGCCGATCTATCATTGTAATTAAAAGTTCTCTATTTTTTAACATTCTTATCTATTTTACAGAAGTAATAAAATACTGCTGCTGCATGTATTTCCAGAAGCAAAAGATACCTCTTGATCCATAATTTGTTGTTATATATTAATCAAGGGGCAAGGGAAATACATGGAGCAGCCATGGGTTATATATTTACACATTTAAATATCTAATTTGAGAAGTACTGATAGGGTGCTGAAATATCAGAGGCGCAAGAAACGAGGAACAATCGTTGACTGATTCTTCATTTACTTATTAATTATTGTTTATTTGTTTAAATGAATCAGTTAGAGAAATAAGTGGGGTTTGATGTCATGCATCACTCCACTAGGTAGTTATTAGATCATGGATCACTAGGTACTTATTGGATCATGGATCACTAGGTAGTTATTAGATCATGGATGGAGTCAGTTTACGACAGTTATTAGTCGGTTATTAGTCAGTTGTATTTCTTTCTCTATAAATAGCCTAGCCATATTCAAGCTAGGCAGGCATGAATGAATATTATTTCCAATTTCCAGAGATTCTCTTGGCTTCTATACCTTTCTTGAGTGAGATTCTTACTTTGAGAGGGAATAGGAGAGTTATTTCTGATATTCCTGTTTTAAGTTTGTTTGATAGCTTCTGGGATCTATCAATTTGGTATCAGAGCAGGTTTTTATCCATCCATGGTGACCACACGCTCATCAGCGGCAACCCGCAATCTAGAGGAAAATCCATTTTCTGCTGATCCTCTGGCCACCATTGCAGCAAAACTGGAGACACTTGACGAGTTAAAGGAAAAAGTGATAGCCTTGGAGATTCAAGCCTCCAAATCCAACCGAGGGAAAGGGAAGACGAGACAGTGGGGCGATGATACTGAAGAAGAATCTGATTCGCACCGCCCGCGACCACCACAAGCGAAAATTGAATTCCCGAAATTCCAGGGAGGTGACCCACGTGGGTGGATTCTTAAGGCTGAGAAGTTCTTTCGTTATTACGAAACACCAGAAGATGACAAGGTGGACATAGCTTCAATGTATCTGGAAGGAGATGCTCTGGATCTGTTCTCGTGGATGAATACGGAAAGGACTTTGCTTTACTGGGAAGAATTGGTGAAAGCTCTGGAGGAACATTATGGGCCTCCAGAGTACTTGAACCCAGATGAGCACTTGTGCAACATTAAGCAAACAGGTTCTGTAGCGGATTACCGGCAAGAATGGGCACGAAGGATTGCACGAGTAACCAACTAGCCAGAGCACTGCTTGCTTGGAGTATTCCTGAATGGTCTTAGAGAATAAATCAGATCAGACGTCAGAATTCATAAACCAAGGTCAGTTTATCGAGCTGCTAGTTTAACATTAGAATTTGAGAAAAAGCTAGCCCAAATGAAGGGGTATAGGCCCAATTCGTACGCTGGTCAGAGTCAGCCCACCTCCAATACTAATCCCATTATTCCAGCACGTGACCAGAGAGTGACACCCGAAAATTCAAGTACGCCTTCTTCGACGAACCCAAACAGAACCACAAATTTACTTCCATCCGCAACACGCTCGTGGGAAGAAACGAAACAGCAACGGCGTGACAAGGGGTTGTGTTTCCGCTGTGGGGACCCATTCTGACCAGGCCATCGTTGTTCTACTACGTTTTCGTTGCTGGAAGTTGTAGAAGACAAGAATTCAATGCCAAACTCTTCGGAATTAGCCGAAGGCACAGAACAGGAACCAGGAGTAGATGCAGAGATTTCTTTTAACGCCATCCTGGGCAGTCCAACAACAACAACAATGCAACTGCGTGGCTTATTGGCTAACAAAGAAGTATTGTTGTTAGTAGATAGTGGCTCAACTCACAATTTCATATCAGATTCACTGGCAAGGGAACTTGACTTGGCCACCTCCTTTACTCAGACAATTGGGGTTCAGCTTGGTGACGGTCATGTGGTGCATTGCAACTGTGTGTGCAAGGAAATTTCAGTACAACTTCCAGGTTTGACCATCACCCAAGATTTTTACCCATTTCCCCTTGTGGATTCTGATATTGTACTGGGAATTAAATGGCTTGCATCACTCAATACCATCCAATCTAATTGGAATGAGATGTTCCTCATCTTCTGGGTGAATGGGAAGAAATATAAGTTACAGGGAATATCAAAGAAAGAGCATCAGCCTGCAAGGTTTAATCTTATGACCACAGTGGAGTCTGCATTTAGTACACCTGGACCTGACTCACTTAATGCGGAAAGGGTGTACATGGAATCTGAAGCTGTATTTGCAGAACCAGTCGTCATGCCTCCATTCAAAGATCATTCCCATGCCATTCCTCTGATCCCAGGAGCTCAACCTCCCAGCTTGAGACCATACAGGCACCCATATTCCCAACAGAATGAAATTGAGCGACAAGTAGAGGACCTTCTCCAGAAAGGGTTCATTAGTCCCAGCTCCATCCAATTTGCAAGTTCAGTTCTGTTGGGGAAGAAACAAGATAAATTATGGCGTATGTGTGTGGACTATTGGGCCCTCAACAAAATCACAGTTCCCGAAATGACTTCGAGCTGTCGGGGAGGATTCCTTAAAAGTTTGAAACGGCTCTCAGGTACTATTAGATCTCTCATTCAACATTGCTTTGTGTGTCAAAAGAGAAAATATGACGCATTATCACATGTTGGTTTGTTACAACCCATACGTGCACCGCAACAGACTTGGGAAGATTATGAGTTCCTAGTACAGCGATTTCCAGAATTTCGCCTTGAGGACAAGTCGGCTTTCAAAGGAGGGGGTAATGATAGGGTGCTGAAATATCAGAGGCGCAAGAAACGAGGAACAATCGTTGACTGAGTCTTCATTTACTTATTAATTATTGTTTATTTGTTTAAATGAATCAGTTAGAGAAATAAGTTGGGTTTGATGTCATGCATCAGTCCACTTAGGGATGGATTCGGGCCGAATCGGGCCCGGGCCGGGCCTAGGCCCGGTCGGGCCGCCGGTTCAAGAATAGTGGGCCCGGGACCGGCCCGAGGGTTGGACGGGTCCGGTTCGGGCCGGGCCACCCGCCCGGGTCACGGGTCGGGCCACCCGCCGGGCCGGGCCGGTTAATTTTTTTTTTTAATTTATATTTTATACTTTATAGTTTTATACAAGTATTAAAAAACAAACTTCAAGTGCATTTATTTCAAATAAAATAGGAACTACATTTGAAAATTAAATAGGAACTATAATTGTTTTTAATCGGAATCTCCGGCATAGGTAGAGCCACCCTCTGTTGTAGATTCATCCATAAAGTGTTGGGATGGAGTGATGTCAATTTCTTGAGCTCTACGTGCTGCTTTCAACCAATCGTTGTAGCATATAAGCATCTCAAGAGATTCAGCGCTCAACCTCGTTCTGGTTTGTGTTAGAACATTGCCGGCCGAACTAAATTCTTGTTCCACGGCAACCGTTGAAACCGGCATTGATAGCACTTGCTTAGCCATCTTTGCTAAAACCGGGAACATTCTTTCTTTTCCCTTCCACCAGTTTAGTACGTCAAAATCATCATCTTCTTCAAAATCAACATCATAAGTTAAATACAAAGAAATCTCATTAATTGTGCTTTGTTGTGTAGCGGGAGTTGATTTTATTTTTTTAATAAGATTGGCAAACGTAGATTTGAAAATTGATTTTCCTTTAGATGATGTTTGTGTCGGGGGAGGGGCGCATTGCCATATTGTGCATGAAACTCTTTGAATAATGCATAAAATATATCACTAATCTCGTTGTATTCTTTTTTCGGATCAATTGGGTTGTCCTCATACATTGGCAATGGACCAAAAAAAGCAGCATAATAATTCAAACATTCTTCTAAAGAACCAAGTCTAAAACGAGGATCGAGAACAAATGCAATACCATAAATATGCGGAATATGTGAATAATATTTTAAAAACTTTTCCTTCATAAAACCAGCAAAATAACTCACATAATCAGCATTCTCAAAATTTGAAAAAGCACCGGCGAGATTAACAGCTTCACGAATAAATTGGTTTGAGGTAGGTTTATAAACATGACTAAAAGTTTCAGTTGCATTATTAAAATATATCAAAGCATTACAAATTTTTTCACAGGTGTCGATCTCAGCCGAGTTTATAATATAGTTATCATATTGTTTCATAAAAGCAGGAAAATGTTGTTTATATCTAAGAAGAACTCCAATTAACTTATAGGTACTATTCCAACGAATAGACAAATCTTTTGGAAAAGCCACATATCTCTCACCTCTTTCTATCAAATAATCATGCCATTTTTTCCTAAGTTGTCCATTACCCCAAATACATCTAATCCCCCCCCCCCCCCCCCCCCCTTGACTACCTCCAACGATGCTCCCAACGCTTTTAGACCATCTTGCACACATAAATTTAGAACATGACATGCTACATTTGCTACAATTCACTACTTATTAATTTTATAATAAAAAATTGTAAAAAACTAATTAACTATTTATCTAACTATTAATTCGAGTTATAGCAAATTAAGTAGTGAATTAACTAGTTTTGTGTACAACATATTTTTTAAACTAGAGTCAAATGTAGCCATTAATAAAAAATTGTAAAAAACTAATTAACTATTTATCTAACTATTAATTCGAGTTATAGCAAATTAAGTAGTGAATTAACTAGTTTTGTGTACATATTTTTTAAACTAGAGTCAAATGTAGCAATTAATAAAAAATTGTAAAAAACTAATTAACTATTTATCTAACTATTAAACAAGAGTCAAATGTAGCAAATTAAGTAGTGAATTAACTAGTTTTGTGTACAACATATTTTTTAAACTAGAGTCAAATGTAGCAATTAATAAAAAATTGTAAAAAACTAATTAACTATTTATCTAACTATTAATTCGAGTTATAGCAAATTAAGTAGTGAATTAACTAGTTTTGTGTACAACATATTTTTTAAACTAGAGTCAAATGTAGTCATTAATAAAAAATTGTAAAAAACTAATTAACTATTTATCTAACTATTAATTCAAGTTATAGCAAATTAAGTAGTGAATTAACTAGTTTTGTGTACAACATATTTTTTAAACTAGAGTCAAATGTAGCAATTAATAAAAAATTGTAAAAAACTAATTAACTATTTATCTAACTATTAAACAAGAGTCAAATGTAGCAAATTAAGTAGTGAATTAACTAGTTTTGTGTACAACATATTTTTTAAACTAGAGTCAAATGTAGCAATTAATAAAAAATTGTAAAAAACTAATTAACTATTTATCTAACTATTAATTCGAGTTATAGCAAATTAAGTAGTGAATTAACTAGTTTTGTGTACAACATATTTTTTAAACTAGAGTCAAATGTAGCCATTAATAAAAAATTGTAAAAAACTAATTAACTATTTATCTAACTATTAATTCGAGTTATAGCAAATTAAGTAGTGAATTAACTAGTTTTGTGTACAACATATTTTTTAAACTAGAGTCAAATGTATCCATTAATAAAAAATTGTAAAAAACTAATTAACTATTTATCTAACTATTAATTCGAGTTATAGCAAATTAAGTAGTGAATTAACTAGTTTTGTGTACAACATATTTTTTAAACTAGAGTCAAATGTAGCAATTAATAAAAAATTGTAAAAAACTAATTAACTATTTATCTAACTATTAAACAAGAGTCAAATGTAGCAAATTAACTAGTAATTAAACAAGTGTAAATAATAGAATAATTTCGTACCTCTTTCGGACTTTCGGTCTTTCGGATGGGAGTAATAGAATGACTTCAAATTAATTAGATATAATTCCAACTATATTAATAGATATAATAAATATATAAGTAATATATAATTAGATAACAAATATAAGTAATATAATACTATTTATATCTATTTATAGTTTATATAAGTAGATAATTAATATAAACTATAAA